TTTTGGAAATCTTAAAACATGGAAATCTCCAAAGAAGATCAGCCTTATAGTAGCTTTTGAAAAGAAGCAAGAGCTTTCCTCCTGGACTGGAAGCCAACATTAAGAGAAAGCCTTCTCACGGTTCAAATCCACCAGATGCTCTGCTGGAGAAGGAGGGGCAATCTCCTCCTGTACCAATCAGATTTGATTTGATGGTACACACACAAAAAATAATAAAGTAAAATAAAAATAAAGAGAAAGCCTTTTCTTAGGGCTGGCACCAGGAGTTTAGACATCTTGCCTCCTAAACTGTGAAAGAATTTTTGGGCGAGCTCTGGTGGCCTAGTGGCAAAAAGCTGCACTGCAATCCTAGAGATGCATGGTTTGAATCCATCAGATGCTCTGCTGGAGAAGGAGGGACAATCTCCTCCTCTACCAGTCAGATCTGATTTGACAATATACACACAAAAAAATAATTTAAAAAAATTAAAATAAAAAAAGGAATAAATTTTTGTTTGTTAAAGCTAGGGAAAAAAAAAACCAAAACAAAAAAACCCACCCAAATAAAACTAAAACGAGTTGGCCAGACTTACAGGTCAGACCACCTAGACTTACAGAGAGAAGTCCTGGCCTATATTTGCTGGAGACAACTAAAAGTGCTATACTTTCTCAACACACACACACACACCCACACACACCCACACACACCCCTTCTCTGCCGCCTCCCTCCACTCTCCTGATCAGCATTAGAAAGTTACTATGGAGCTTCTTCTATCACAAAGGGTAATCATTTGCTAAAGTATACAAGAACTTTTGCCCTCATTACAAGAGTACCCTGGTTTTCTCTTTGGCATCATGTGAGGCTTTTGCAATGATCACTTTTTATTAATTCATTGTTGCACATTTTCTGTTCCCCCTCCTCTTCCATCCCCTTCTCCCAGTCCACTCTGCAATGCACCCTTTGTTCCAGATTTTACTCACACGTATAATGGATAATCATATATTGCTTTTGGCCAGTTCTTCCCCTCATCTGTTCTAATGGAGTGTTAATTATCTATCCACTCTTTCCCCATTTGCTCTCCAACCCCCTCATGTCTGTCCTATTTTCTTAATACTTACAATTACATAATTATTATAAGTATTATAAGTTTAAAGACTTCTTAAAGATTGTGAAGGAGCCCTGATAATGTAATGAGTTGTGTGGGTTGCTAACTGAAAGGTTAGAGGTTTGAATGCACCAACCACCACGTAGGAGAAAGATATAAATGGTTCTTGTTAAGACTTACAGCCTTGCAGATCCACATCAGGTGTCATAAGTCTGCATCAACTCAACAGCATAAGGTTTTGTGTAAAGATGATGAGGGTCATAAGAATGGCAATCACATCTGTGTTCACTGCTTACCCCTAGGCTGGCTTCAGGATCTGTCTACTGCCTCTCTGAAATACATTCCAACTTCTTGAACCTATTGGGAATGCCACTTATTTTCAGTCAAATTCACAATGTGCACTGGTTACAGAACTGGGGGCAGGCTTTCCTTCATGAAGTTGCACATAGTCTGTTGTCCCAGCTGTACAGATTTACCTGTGTGCTGCTGGTCGGTGCCACCAAGTCAGTGTTAACTCATCATGACTGTTTGTGACAAAACAGACCTGACCTGCAGGGTTTTCCTTTGCGAGGTCTTTTTCTCCCAAAGACACTGGGTGGGTCTGAGCCTTCAATCTTTGTTGTTGCTGTTGTTAGGTGCTGTAGAGAATGATTCATAGTGCCCCTGTGAATACGTGTTCTGAACCCTCTCCTTTCCAACCACAGTTGCGATGGTTGTGGCCCCAGGGTTCCTTGAATCACATGTAGTCTCTAACTTTTCAGCCACTATTACTCTCCTTTCTCCCACACAGCTACATCTGCTACTGTTGTTAGGTGCCATGGACTCTCCCACTCAGAGCAGCCCTGTCTACAACAGACCTGAACCTTGTCCTTTCCAGAACCATCCTCAGGATCTGATCTCTGATATGCAAACACACCTCATTCTCCCTAAAAAGGTCACTATCCTGTTCAGGGTGGCACCAGCCCTAAAGGAAATTGGCTCTCACTACTGAGAACAAAGTAGAGATAGAAATCAAACAGGTGATTGACCCATACCTCCTTTTCCTTCTAAGATTAGAGAATGGCATAGTTCCAAAGACACTGTTGTGGTGGTGGAAAAGAGCATTGACCGTACCATGGACTGCCAAGAGAACACTCCCGCTGTCCTGGGGAGGCTGAAATCAGTTTGCTCCTTGGAGGCGAGGATTTTGAAGCTCTGTCTAACATACTTTGAACATGTTGCCAGGAGGGGCCAGTCCTTGGAGAGGGACAGCATGCTTGGAAGAGTGGAGGATCAGCACAGGAGAGGAAGACACTGGATGAGATGGATTGACACAGTGACTGTGGTAATGGGGGCAGGTATGTCAGAGACAGTGAGGTTGACTCAGGTTGGGGCAAGGTTCATAGGGTTGCTATGAGGCGTTGTCAACTTGACAGCACATAACAACAACAAACAATATTGCTAAGTGCATATGGAATTGGGCTTTCTGTTGATAAGAACCTATACAAATCTATATTCCTTAGAGTTGAGTATTATTGACCAAAACGTTAATTGAGCACATGCTTTTTGACTTAAAAATAGTCTCTGGAATCTTGTTATTTTTGTTTGTTTTTTATTTTATTATTATTTTGTGTGTCTGTGTACCGTCAAATCAGATCTGACTGGTACAGGAGGAGACTGTCCCTCCTTTCCCGGCAGAGCATCTGGTGGATTTGAACCATGAGCCTCTGGGATTGCAGTGCAGCTTCTTCCCACTAGGCCACCAGAGCTCCCCTTGGAATCTTGTTTTTAATAATATTTTTTTTTTAAAAAAAGACACCGTTGTTGTTGTTAGGTATGTCAAGTTGGGTACAATCCATAGTAATCCTACAAATAATAAATCTGAACCTTGTCCTATCCCACACCATCCACACACTTCCTAACACATTAGAGCCCATTGCAGCAGTCACTGTGCCAATCCACCTTGTTAAGGGTCTTCCTCTACTTTGCCAACCCTCTACCCTTCTGAGCATCTGGTTCCTCCCCAAGGAACAGACCCTCCTATCAACATGTCCAAAGTATGTGAAGCGAAGCCTCATCATCTGTGCCTCCAAAGAGCACTCTGGCTGCACCCTCTCCAAGACATATTTGTTCTTTTGGCAGTCTATGGGATGTTCAGTGGTTTCTCCAAAATCACAGCTCAAAGGCATCAACAATTCTTCTGTCATCCTTATTCATTATCCAGATCTCAGATGCATAGCAAATGAATGGACAGACCATTGCATCAGACCCACCTTAGTTTTCAAACTCATGTCATTACTCCTCAATAATTTGGAGAAGTCCCTAACTGAAGAATGTTTCCTGATTTCCTGACTGCTGGTACTAAGGGTGTTAGTTGTGGATCCAAGTAAGATGAAGTTGTTGACAGTCTCAATCTTGTCTCTATCCATCAGGATGTTGTCCATTGGTCCCATGGTAAGAATCCTTGGAAGCAAGGATTTTAAAGCTCTATCTCTCACATACTTTGGGCACTTAGCCAGTAAGATCTGTATGGCTGTCCACAGTGCTTGCAAGAGCAGTGTTGAAACGGTTTGAGGCCTTGCTCTGCACCATCCATGGAGCAAGATTATAGAAATTTCAGACAGCTGGGGGGGGTGGGGGGAATCTGCATAGCTGCCCAAAGGGGGAAAGGGAAAGAGGGAAGGAAGCAGGAAAAGGAGAAGAGTAGACATCACAGGGAGAACAGAGTTTAGTGGGAAGACTGGGAGGAGATGGAGGGAATGGAACTTGAAAAGATGGTATAGTAACAGGCATAGATTAATGGTAGTTGATTATACAGGATACACTGTATATGAATGATTGTATGAAATACAATGTAAATGAGGAACTGTGTAGAACACAATGTATATCAATGAAACACAATGTAAATGAATTATTACTGTATGAAAACAGTTACATTTCTTTTTTAAAAAAGGGTCTGGTTTATAAAGCTGAAGTAAACTACACTCTTACATGGACAACAGAATTGTGATTAGGTGCACTCGGTCAAGTCTCATATAGAATTTGGTTCAAGTGCCATTTTATAACCAATTTATGATGGTTGTAAAAGGAATTGAAATCGTGTATAAAAAGCATTTCATTAGTAAGCGTATTTTGTCCTTTGCTCGGTCTCCTGACAAGTATACGTGACAATTTTTCTACGATGGGAAAGGGGTGAGAGGAAGCACCTTCTAATCCATTCAAAACCCCCTTATTCTTCTGGCTAGAGGTCCAGGTCCATTTAAGACTCTTCCAGGACTGCAGACGATGCGGTTCACAGAAGCGCAACAAAACCTGGCCAAGAGCAAAATAGCTTTCATAGGCTGTCAAGTCAGCTCCCTGAGTCCCTGGTGCTTGCCTTGAGACAGCCAGCATCCTCCACGCCCACTACCTGGAACCCCCATCCCAGACTCTCACACTGGATATAGATGGTGGGCGCTCAGCACTAGAAGGCGCTGGACACCAGCTGGGACAGCCCAGGCCACTAATTGTGCCACGTGGCCTTTGGAAGTCCAGCGTCCAGCCCGCGCTGTAGCCCTGGCTGGACAGAGTAAGGCCAGAAATCAATCTCCCTCCCCGGGGAGGCAAGTAGCCTCTTCCCCAAGAACTCTTACCTGGTCCAGGAAAGAAGTCAAAGAAACAACAGACAGCAACTGCAGCAAGCTTGAGGAACCCAGTGTGGGCTCTGCAGGCCTCGCGGGGGAACCGCCCCCTCTCCCCCCTCACACACTTTCCTCTGGACCAATCACAGGCCTGGCCACCTGGAGCCGGGTTTGCAGCGTTCTCCCAGTCGGTGCAAGCCCGCGGCCGCCGGGAGCGCTCCAGCAGCGCGCCTGCGCGATGGGCGCGCCTTGGTGCGCTTGCGCACTTTGGGTAGCACCGGGTTGGACCCGCCTCTGGACCGCTGCTTTCCTCCTCCGCTGTGCGTGCGAGGGACGTCAGGGGCGGTGCCGCAGCAGTTGCCCCTGGTAACGGGGAGGCAGGAGGAGGAGGAGGAGGGACTCGGCGGGAGGATGGTGAGTGTGGGGGCCTGGGCCCCCCTGTGGTTGGCGGGTCCCCTTTCCGTACCCAGACCCGGGGCGGGGCACTGCGCTCGGCGAAGGACTGAAAAGGATGGCGCGTAGCCGCTGCCTGGGCTCTGGATCAGTTTCGGGGGGACGGCGAGGAGCTCGGAGGATGCACCCTGGAGGGAGGCCTGGGCCTGGGGAGGAAGGCGGGGCTTGCAGCGGGTCTGGGGCGCATGAAGTGGCTGGCCTCGTCTGGGGCCGGGGCTCCACCACGGCTCTGGGGACAGGGATGAAGGCGGATCTGAGGAGTGTGAAGACAGCCTCCGCATACAGGCTTAAATCTTCCCGGGAAATCCTCTCCGCGGGAAGGTGGGGTCCGCCTGGGGCTGGACCCAGAGAGGGGATTAGGGCCAGCGCTGCTGTGTTTGGGTGGTCCTCGCTGAACCGGGGGACATGGCAGCTTTGCTTGCCTCTTCCTCGAGAGATACGAACCCCAAGGGTGTGGAAGTCCCTGGGCACAAAGAGGTGCTGCTTGAACCGATGTTTGGTGAATCTTAAGCTGCCTTGGCGTCTGCGTGGCGTGCGCGCTCTTGAAATCTCGAGTTATTTGCTGAGGGTTTTGCAAAATCTAGTTGGTGGTGACCAGTCTCCTGTTCAATGCTGAATGCACGTTTCTAAAAATATCTTATTGCTGTCGAGTTGGGACCAACTGTTTGCAGACCCTCCATCGGGTTTTCAGTCTGTAAGGAGTTGATGGCTAGCTCATCATCCAGGAAAAACTGGTGGATTCGAATCTCTTGTCTTTGGTGTAGGCAGATTAACTGCTCAGTCTCTATTAATTCGGAACCTGTTGCAACATTTCGCATTTGACCACATTAAGACTTACTCACAGTTTGGGGTCCCCAATCTAGAGGATTAAAACCGAGAGCGATAATAATTTTGGAGAAAACTTTTTCTCTGCTACATAAAACACACACTGCCATCAAGTTGAGTCCAACTCATAGAGATTCTTCATGGGTGTCCTCTTTAAGGGAGGAGATTGTCCATGCGTCTTCTAGGGAGCAGCTGGTGGATTCGAACTGCTAACCTTTCTGTTAGCAATCCTACACATTGCAACTACGCAGACTCAGTCAAAACTTTTCCAGAGTGTAAACGATGATGTTTAACAGAGTCAGCACTCTGTGCTTTCCTGATAGCAGGAGAAAGACGTGGCAATCCATCGCGATAAAGATATACAGTCTTGGACACCCTGTAAGGCAGTTTTCCTCTGTCCTTTGGAGCTCTGGTGGCCTAGTGGTAAGAAGCTGCATGGTAATCCCAAAGGCAGGCAGTTCGAGGCCACCAGCTGCTCTGCGGGAGAAGGATGGGCAATTTCCTTCTGTGCGTTTAACTGCCTCTGAAAACCTGCGGAAGAGTCCCCTATGAATTGGTTCCAACTCCACGGTAAGCAACAACATGTAATCTTTATAAATCAGAATCCACTTACCAATGAGAAATGAGTTTTTTTGATTTCTCTACCATCTCTTGGAGGTAGTTATAGCGGAATGAATAGTTCTAGACCTCACTAATAGAAAAATTGATGGTGATTTATTGAAAGCAGAATGCTTGGTTCAGTAACTGCAAAAACCTAGTACTTAGGTGCTTCTCCACCATATACCTCTTCCATTCCTCTTTTACTTTTAAAAAAATGTTGACACATTTCTGTTTACTTAAGCAGTTAGGGTGGGAGCCAGATTAGGGGGAAATACACATAATTTTGTTTAGATTATCCAGTCAGAAAAAAAAATTATTTAAAAAAACCCATTCCAATTGATTTTACATTGTCAGATTGCTAGAGAAGTAGAATTATTTGATCTGAAGTTGCCAATCACATTTCACAGTTGCTGCTTTGCAGTTTTATTAACCTCAGGCTAAACAGATTTTAAGAGTGTTTTCTTTTTATTAATCGTTTATACATGAGCTGTCCATTAAAGGCTAAGTTTTTCTCAACAAATGATTACAAACATAAATATTTACACAGGAAATAGCTAGAATTGAAAGGAAAAAGGCATGCCAAACACAGAAAATGAAGTTTGTCATTATAGATGAGAAACACATGAGAGCTGGCTCACCCCTCCCTGATGATCAGTTGTGGACTGGGTAGTTTCACAATTAATTTATCTTTAGGCCACAATAAATTAAACACTGTTTATATTTCCAGGCACAAATAGACATTGTTTATAACAAATAAACACGGTATACAACAAATTGATATTGTAGACAACAAGTTAACAGTATATCCAATATTGTCATATATAATTGTATTCAATAATCAAGAAAAATTAGGGGTTTATTTTTCCTAAAATGAACTGTAAGAAATTAAGACACATTATTATTGAGTCTTTATCTAGTTTCTCAAATACATTATTATTTTTTTCCTATCTCCAAAAATGTGAGCTATTCTTAGAACTAAAAGTGGAACACCAAAATTTAAATGGTCAGTGGTCTTATTAAATGTGTCATATCTGGTATCTCTTGAGACCCTGTGCTGAGCTGTAGAACTACAGAATGGGTCCCTGGCTTTTCGTCTTTTTTTGAATCTTCAACTGCAAGTCACATACACTGTTTAAGTGGAGTTACTGTTTTAAAATACCATAATTAACTTCCATGAACATTTACAATTAGCATGACAAAATGCTAAGAGAACAGTCATTTTAATGTGTAACCACTGAATAAAAGATGACTCATTCATTCAATACCTGTTTATGGTGGTCCTCCACATACATCAGCCTAGCGGTAGCTACCTAGTAGGTTCAACATTTGAAGATTGCTCTCAGCAGTATTTATGTTTTCAGATCAGAAAAGAACCAAGGAAGACGTTTTTAAAGAATAATAAAAGCCGCTACTGTTTGAGTACTACGTGTCAGGTATTACATACATTATCTCAACCCTTATAACATTTTTCTGTTGAGATACAAGTATTCTTTTCCATTTCTCCATGAGAACACACTCAAGGTTTTTGTAAAAAAAAAATAAAAAATGGGTGGCAGTGGTACCTTACTTCCTTACTTCAAAAAGGCTTAAGGAGAATCAAGATCAACAATTCAAGGCAGAGTCTTAAGAGGGAGAAGTAAAGCATGCCTCCATTTTCCAAACTTTTTACTCCTTCTGATACCTGTGGTCCCTCCCAAGTCTCTCCTTGTTGCAATGGCTGTACAGAACTCACAGCTCACACTCAACAGCTTGGAGATTTATTAGGGAATTAGCAGAATATGCAAGTCAGGATCAAGATCCGTTTAGAAGTAACAGAAATAACTCAGAACACAGTTTTTCATCAAAGCAGTTTCTTCCCACCCACTATTTCAGAGCACTTCTGGGGTCTTTGAGCCTAGTTCCAAGTGCCTAAGGTACCCCACTCTCCCAGCGGCCTCTTGTCTGAAAGTACTCAGTTTTTTACATCAGGGCAGGAACATGGGAATCGTACCACTCCCAGGAATAACACTTGCCTTCTGTCTGTCCACTGCTGCTGTTGCTGCTGCTTTCCATTATCTTTGATTGTCTCCCTGTTACAGTTGTCTGTTTCCTGGGCCTAGGAGTTAGCCATGCAGGGACCCCACATTCAAGGAACATGCTCTACTCCTGTCTCCTTTTCTTCTTCTTGTTACATGCTGTTGAGTCGCTTGCAACTCATAGTGATCCTATGTACAAGAGCCCTAAACGCTGCTCTACCCAGTGCCAACCACACTGTCTCCGACACACCTACTCCCATTACCCGAATCACTGAATCAATCTATCTCACCAAGGGTCTTCCTCTCTTGCACTGTCCCTTCACCCTCCCAAACATGACATCCCTCTCCAAGGACTGGTCCCTTCTTGCAACATGCGCAAAGTATGTCAGACGAAGCTTTAGAATCCTTGCCTCCAAGGAGCAACCTGCCTTCACCTGCTCCAGGATGAACCTGTTTGTTCTCATAGCATCCATGGTATATTCAGCACTCTTCTCCAGCATCAATTCTCTTTCTATCATCCGTAGTCACTATCCAGCTCTCTGACGGATAGCACGCAATTGCGAAGACTATGGCCGGATCAGGCACACCTTAGTCTCCAGCCTGACGTCATTGCTCTTCAGTACTCTGGAGAGGTCCCTGACAGTTGACTTTCCCAATGCAATTCATCTCTTGATTTCCTGGCTGCTGGTACCAAGAGTGTTGATTGTGGAACCAAGCAAACTAAAACTATTAACAATCTCAATCTCTTCATCATCCATAATGATGCTGCCAGTTGGCCCAGTGGTGAGAATTTTAGTTTTCTTGATGTTGAGCTTCAATCCATATTGAAGACTGCAGTCCTTGATCTTCTGCAGCAAGCGCTTCAGGTCCTCCTCAGTTTCAGCAAACAGGGTGTGTCATCTGCGTAACACAGGTTGTTGATGAGTCTTCCTCCAATCCTGATGCCACATTCCTCCTCATACAGTCCAGTGTCCCAGATGTTCTGTTCTGAATACCAGACAGAATACATCCCTGGTGGACACTCTTCCCGATTTTGAACGATGCAGTCTCTCCCTGCTCTGTTCCGATGACTGGCTCTTGGTTCAAGTATAGGGTTCCTATAAACACAATGAATGTTCTGGGATTCCCATTCTCAGAGTCAACCACAAGTTTGCTGTGATCGACACAGTCAAAAGTCTTTGCATAGTCTTCCCTGAGACTTGTTTTCTAAGCCTAACAGAAGCACAAACCTGATCTGTCCCGTTTCTAGGACATATGATTGTATTGTCCCACCTCCACAGAGGTTCCGTGGACCTTATTTGCATTATTAATGGACAATCCAGTTATTTCCTCTGATGGATGACAGCACTTTTTTCCACATAGTCCCATTCAGTCATTCTATAGGAGTCACAAGACCATGACAAGAAATACTGTATAAAAGCCAGGAGCTGTGTTTGGCCCAGCGTTGTTTCATGTACAGGAAAGTTGAATGTAAGTCTGTGAGATTCTAAATAATGTTTTTTTCATTAGGTAAATTGAGAA